GTACATCCAGACCGTGCGATTCCATAGCTTGTACCATCCAAAAGGAGACTGCATCGTGTGGATCTTGTCGTAGATTTCCCTCATCGTGGTAGTGTGGATCCAGAGTTTGGTGATGTAGGTGCTGCCTTCGACTTGGCACCACTACTTCTGAACGTGCATCTTGGGATGACCTAGGCGCGCTAGGGGTGTGCCGCCATGGGGGCGGCGGGCGCATGCGAACGCAGGCGCTGGGGCCCCCGGTGGAGCTCCCCGTGGGGCCACGTGCCGAAATGTGCACCGTGGGCGCGTGCGAACGCAGCCGCTGGGCCCTTGGGTGGAGCTCCCTGCGGGGCCGCGAAACGCCTGAAGGGTGTGCCGGAACGCGTGCGGTGGGCACGTGCGAGCGCAACCGCTGGGCCCTCAGTGGAGCTTACTGACGGGAGCCACGAACCGTGTTGGGAGAGCGCCGAAATAGGTGCGGTGGGCGCATTCGAACTCGGCCGCTGGGGCCTCGGGTGGAGCTCCAGCCGGGGCCGCGAACCGTGCCCGGGGTGCGCATGAACAGCGAGCGCGTGGAGAGGGTGGGGCAGGAGGAGATAGGGGGAGGAGGAGGGGGATGTATGAGACAACATCAAAGAGGCCCTGGCGGTCGTCAGCAAGCTGACGACCGCAGGGGCCCCAAATGTCGAATAAGGTTCCCACGCCGCCGCGAGCGCGCCGCGCAGACGCCGTGGCAAACAGGGAAGGGCCCCGAAGAAACCTAAACAAGCATCCGACCGACCCCGGCTTACCCCGAGGGCAAGACACACAGGAGGGACCACCCCCGCCGGGACAAAACGGGCACCCCCAGCAGCCACCCGCAGCCGCCCGCCCGCCCCGACGGGGGAAGCGCGGCGGCCCCCCTAAACCGCGCCGAGGGGCGCCGCGCCAGGATCACGAGGCGGACCCAGCAGGAGAGACCGAGTGCCCGTGCCCAGTTCGTCCGATGCAGTCGAAGCACACGGTGTAGCGGCACCCGCTGTGTGGCCGTCCGCTTGTAGAATGTCCTCGAGCACCACTCGCAGACGAAAGCGAAAGGCGGGCGGCGGCGGAAAGCGATCGCGCCGAGCGGGGCAGAGGTAGAGGGACACGTCGGGCGTCAGTCCTCCAGCCCACTGCCAGAGGCACGAACAGCGCCCACCGTAGCCTCCGAGACGCCGTGGCCGTCGCCCGCCTCGCTCACCTTCTCGAGCCATTCCCGAAAGATGCGGGCCTGTGCAACTCACCATGCGCCCTGCCTGACCCTGTCATCCACCACGAGGCCGATGGGATCCCTGAACTGCACAAAGTGGTCCTTGTCGAGGAACTCCTGGTCGCGCTCGTCCTCGCAGGTGTCCTTGGCGCGCTACTTCTTCAGCTCCTCGACCTGCGCCAACCGCCAATCTGCCTCCAGCCCGCAAGCGAAGAGTTTCGCCTCCGCCTCTGGGCCGCACGGCCGCCTGGAGCAAGCCATGTCGAGCCCGCATCCTCGTCGTCGCTGTAGTGCGCCTTCTCGTCCTCCTCCAGTGCCGAAAGGAGGGCGCGGGGCTCTGCCAGCGAGCGCCTCCGCGTCCAGCCCAGCCGCGATGAGCAGCTGAGCCTCCAGCTCCGCCACGTGGACCACTCGGGCGTGCCTTTCCCCGAGACGAGGTCCAGCAGCGGCCCGCGCCAAGTCGGCCGCCGATGCGGCGGCGAACCCCAGCGCTGGGATGCGCGCCGCGTGGAGCGCGGCGTGACGGCGTCGGCATCTCGCCTCCGGGACCCGGCGCCCGCTGGCCGCGAGCACCATCGCCGGCCGCGCAACCGCCTCGCGGTCCTGCCAAGAACCGGGGCGGCCTCGCCCTTGCACCGCGGCCTCCGCCGCCGCCAGCCGCCGCTTGCGCGCGGCTCGGTAGGCTGCCGAGGCGCCCAGCCTGGCGGTCTCCACCTCCTGTTCCAGGCCGACCACTGGCATCGCGGGGGTCGCGAAAGGGGACTGGGAAAGAGCCGCTCTCGAGCGCAGCAGCAGCATGAGAGATAAAAACAGCACCCAGCCCGGCTGGCGCCCAATGCAGGCATGAGCCAAAACGGCTACGGAAGGGAGGAGGAGAGGAGGAGGAGGAGGAGGAGGAGGAGGAGGAGGAGGAGGAGGAGGAGGAGGAGGAAAACACGGGGTGCTGTCTTCAAAACGAGGACCCAACGCCACAGGATGGTTGGGAATTACCCGTGCAACTGAAAACAACCAAACCAATTCAAGGGCATTTCCTTCGCGCGAGGGATATTGGGTTCCCATGGGGCTTTATTGTCTTTCAACGGTAGTCACAGGTGCCATTATTTTCGAGCGAAGCCTGTGATACTACCAAAAAAACGACAACACCGAAACCATGCGAGACAACTCCAATGTTTTCGGATCCCAGGCGGGGGAGGGGTCCCCCTGGCCCTGGCCCACTGGCCCTGGCCCACCCCCGCTTGAAATCCTGAGTACATGTGATTTCTGTTGTTGGTCAAGTCCAACGTGTCTTTGTGTTGTTCCACTCACCATGTGTTGTTGGATTATCGTTTTGATTGAATAGACAGAGCCCCGCGTCACCTCACCAACCGCCCTTCCGTCCCGCTGCCCTCCTCGCCCATATCATCCTTGCTTTTGCCCTCCGCATGTCCATTTCGGCGCGCCCCTCAATTGTCGCATGCATTTCCCCGCCAATTTCGGCACACCTCTCACCCGCTTCGTGGCCCAATGGGGAGCTCCTCCGGAAGCCCCAGTGGCAAAGTTCGCATACATTTAATTGCCGATTTCGCACGCCCCTCACGCGTTTCGTCGTTTCGTGGCCCCACAGGAAGCTCCACCGAAGGCCCCAATGGCAAGGTTCGCATGCGGCTCCCAGCCCAGTTCGGCGTACCCCTCACGCGTTTCGTGGCCCGTGGGGACTGGGGGGGGGCGTCCAAGACACCACGCATTCATCTTTGAGCGCCTCTCTCACCTTGACCGAGTCTGGCGGTCGCGGATGCGCCTCTGGACACCACGGCTTCAACCTTGAGCGCCCCCCAAGCACCTCACCTTCACTGCGTCTGGCGGCCGCGGGGGCGCTTCGGGAGATCACGGCTTCGACCTTGAGCGCCCTCTGGCCCCGCCCCCTGACCGCGTCTCGCGGCCGGGGGGACGTTCGTGACACCACGGCTTCAAGTTTGCACGCCCCCTGGGCTCGCCCGCTGCCACTTCCTCCCTCCTCCCTCCCCCTTCTTGCTGCTCCTCGTCCTTCTCCTCCCGTCCTCCGTCCTTGGCGTTTTCCCTGCCCCTCCCTTCTTACGCATAATGCTCGGCACCCCTGTCCTGGTACGAATGCCTCTTCCCATTTCCCAATGCGAATCCTCCTCCTTCTCCTCCTTCTCCTCCTCCTCCTACTCCTCGTCCTCCTCCTCCTCCTACTCCTCGTCCTCCTCCACCGCGCCTCGTATATCTTTCCCCCTCCCCCTTCCGAAGGTATCTACCCGAGGGCACCAGCAGACAGCGAAGCCGAATTGCAGCTGGCAAGGCAAGCGGGAGTTGGGAATGTCGACGGCGAAAAGGGTGTCCGACGCCTGGTGAATATGTATTCCCAGTAACTTTTCCAATAATAACTATCGTGTAGCCTCTTGGCACGCCCCAGGAGCCTATTGGTAGCCTTTGGGGGGCCTATGTGTCGCGTATTGGTGTCTCGAGGGCGGCCTCGAGGTCCAAGTTGAACACCGTGTAGAATGTGGACGCGTGGCCTATAATAGGCTTGTTGGGGTCTTTCGGGGAACCTCTCGGGAATCTTCTGGGAGCATGTCTGGAGTTCGGCCGGATGGCTTCTTGGGGGCCTCAGGGAGTCTTCTGGGGAGCCTGCGGGCGGTCTCGGGGGTCCTCTTGGGACGGGGGTCTCGAAATTTGAGTTCGAGCTCCTCCTCAAGGGTCCCTTTTGGGGCCTTCTGGACACTGGGCCGTCTAGGAGCGATCTTGAGCCTCCCTAGGCTTTTCTGGGCGCCGTTAATACGGATACTTATACGTACTAGAACTGCTTGTTTGTCCGAAGTGAATGGGACGATTTGGTTTCTTGCGGCCCTCTTGAGGGTCCTCTTGGAACGCCTGGGGGCCTCTGGGCTGTCTGGAAGCCATCCTGAGCGGTCTTGGAGCGCTCTTGAGGCGCCCTTGGGTCGCCTCAGAAGTCTCTTTGGCTGAAGGCCTTCGTGGGTGCTCTTGGAGCGCTCTCGGGCGTGAAAGAGCTCCCCCAAAGGCCGAAAACGGGCTGGGCCTTCGGGGCTTACATTCGGTACCCAGGAGGGTGCCATTTGTCATTGTGTGTTGGGGAGGCCGGGAGGCCAACACTCCGACATCACTACAATCAGCCCGTATTATCAGGACGCACGATAAGGATGCAAGGGCCTTGGGAGGCCATGCCGATACTTTGCGGGCGAGGCGCGGCCAGCGAGATCGGCCAAGGATGAGCCGAAGGAGAAGGATGCAAGGGCAATCTTGGAAACTTGTTCATCTTTACTATGCGGGCTGACTGCATACGTATATGTATATATATACACATAGAGATATGTCTATACGTATACATGTATATATATATATACATATATATAAACACATCCGATCAGACTTGCTGAATCCGCGGCCCCCAAGCCCCCGACGCTTTCCCCAGGGGTGCTTTTGAGTCCCAGATGGCCCGATCGCGAGCCCCAGAGCCCCGCATGAAGAGAAACACGCCCAGGTTACAAGGAGTCATATCGGCGGAGGCCTGGGTAGACCACTGCCAGGAGAGCCCAGAATCGAATCGATAAGTCGGACCGGCGATCGAAATGGATCGGATCAGCGGACATCGGCAGCCGAGTCGGGAGCAGTGGAATTGGCGGAAATCGGCAATCTAGTAGGCCTCCACTGAGAAATCGGAATCCAAATCGGCATCCGAAGTCGAATCGAATCGGAATCGGAAGGCATCGACATCGAATCGAACGGAATCGGAGGAATCGAAATGAGCCCCGACTGCCCTCCCGAGCCCCGCTTCGGCTTGGCGTCCGCCGCCCTCGCGTACAGCTCCACCGACACGGCGGCGTCCCAACAGGGGTCGTGCGTGCCCGATGAAGGCTCCTGCCGTACGCCGCAGGAGCAGCGCGCCCTCGTTGTCCCTGCCGTCTCCTGCCTCCTCCCTTCTGCCCTCTGCGCCTCCTTCCGGCTGCTCTTCCTCCCCACTGCTCCTCCTCATTCTCATCCTCCCCCCTCTTGCCTCCTCTTCCTCATCCTCATCCTCATCCTCCCTCCTGCCCTCCCTCCTCCCTCCCTCCCTCCCTCCTCGTCCTGCCTCCTCCCGCCTCCTCGCTCCTGCCTCCTCCCTCCTGCCTTTACCTCCTCGCTTCTTCGGGCTCCTCACCCTCACCTCTTTCTCCTCCTCCTCCTCCTCCTCCTCCAGCACCACCACCACCACCACCATCATCATCATCATCATCATCATCATCATCATCATCATCATCATCATCATCATCATCATCATCATCAGCAGCAGCATCATCATCACCACTATCATCATCATCATCATCATCATCATCATCATCATCACCATCATCACCATCATCACCATCATCACCATCACCATCATCATCATCATCATCATCATCATCATCATCATCATCATCATCATCATCATCATCATCATCATCGTCGTTATCATCGTCACCATCATCATTATCAGCAGCAGCAGCATCAGCAGCAGCAGCATCAGCATCATCAGCATCATCAGCATCATCGTCATCGTCAACACCACCATCAGCATCATCATCATCATCATCATCATCATCATCATCAACATCATCCTCAATAACATGATCACCCATCATCGATCATCATCATCATCACCATCATCATCATCATCATCATCTTCATCATCATCATCATCATCAGCATCAGCATCATCATCATCATCACCATCCATCATCACGGTCATGATCCTCGTCCTCATCATCATTATGAAAAACCATCGGCATCCCCTCCTCCTCCTTTCCTCATCTTCCTCCTCCCTCCTCTTCTTCTCCCAACTTGACCTCCTAGCTCCTCCTCCCTACTCCAACCTCCCCTACCTCTATTTTTCCCCTCGCTCCTCCAAGCCCTCGCCCTACCACTCCTTCATATATGTTTCTCCTCCCCCGTGGAAAGGATCAGGCGCTGCCACGGAAACTGAAGAACGGACGCAATTGAATATCGGTCATCAAATAAGTGGATCGGCTACGGTAGACCCGGTAGGTTCGTGCCGTCGTCACGACCTGGGCGCTCCTTTCAGAAACTCGGCCATGCCGACGGGCCGTTCCATGCCGACGGCGCCGCCGACACGGCCGCGCCCCGCCGGCGAAGCGCACGACCGCGGTATCGCTGACGGCGTCGGCGCGCACCACCTCTGACGGGGGCCACGGAAGCCTCGCGGGTGGGGTCCGAGCGGGTGGAGCCGGAGGAGCGCGCCACGTCGCCGCTGCATCGCCGGTGCATCGGCGGTGCATCGGCGGCGCAGGCAGTGCATCGGCGCCGTCGGCATGGGAAACTTGGAAAATCGGCGGCTTCTCGATCGCCAGGCCGTTCCATGTTGGCCGATTCTGGGCTACTGGCCGCGCATCGAACGCCCGCGGCGGGGCCGCCGCCGCGTCGACACGACACGAGCCTACCAGGACTGGCCCAAGGCAGGAGAGACGGCCGCGAGGGGAGCCAGATGCGAGCGCACAGGCCGGTGCAAAGGGCGATTGTAGATGTATCTTGCTTTTCTAAATCATTTTAGTTAGATTAGTTCGCGAAGTATTTTCGCTGTTTTGAATGATTTTGGATGTTCAAATATCATTTTCAGTGTTTTGGTTTTTAAATATGGTGTGCGGAATTTGATTATTATGTTCGTATTCATTTGTTTTGGAGCATGCGAGACCGCGCTCGAGGTCCTCGTGGGGAAGGGCCGCTCTCGCGCGGAGCCGAGCGGGACTGGCGAGGGCTGGGGGACTTGCCTGGGCCAAGAAGGGCGGAGAAGGGGTATGCACAAATGCCTATACAACCAGCCAAGCCACAGGCCGATGAGCAGGTTGGAAACATTGAACAAACGATGGGACAACCATAGAAGCGACCGTCTCCATCCATCGAACAACCTTAACCGGCCTCACAATCGATCGGCATCACGATGTATCTACCGATTTCAGAATCGATAGATTTACAGGTCAATCGATACATGCACATGTATGATACATGCATACATGTATACATCGACCTCGTTATGTACATGCCGATATCGCGATATGCATATCCATGTGTGTGCTTGTTAATGTCGGCATATATATATATATATGTATGTATGTATATATATATATATATATTCCAGGCTATCCAGAGGTGGAGGGTCGCGGCCGGCACCGCCGCCGCCGCCGCAGTCGTCGTCGTAGTCGTCGTCGTGGTCGTCGTGGCCAGTCGTGGTCGTGGTCGTGGTCGTGGTCGTCGTCGCTGTCGGCGTCGTCGTTGTCGCCATCGTTGTCGTCGGCGTCGTGGCTGGGCGATGGCCTGGCCTTTCTCGTTGCTCTACGCCATCCCACGATGCGAATTTACAGTCTCGGTGCCTAGACGCCTCAACCTCCCAAACTGCGGGATGCTTTGGCGCGTATACGCCGAACTCTTTCGCGCCGAAATCCGTGGCTCAATGACCAAACAATCGACGTGGTGTATAGGTCGAATCCGTTCGTTACCAATCGGGGATCTTCAGACCCGGGTCAATCCAGACCCGGGTCGGTCAGGCTTCGCAGAATCCTGCATGGCTGACCCCCCTGTGTGCATTGACCCCCCGTCTCTTGAGCCCCGAACCAGGGAGAACGGAAGCTCTCTGGCCCAGGCCGCGACGCGCACAGCGCGATCATGTTAGCGCCCTTGGGGTTGACCTGGACTTTCCAAGGGTTCCCCCCCTCTCCACACACTGTTACAGGTACAGTAGGAGCACGACCACAAGAAACCTTCCACAAGAAACCCAATCCTGAGACCCCAGGACGTCCATGGATTCTTGGTGCGGAAGCGTCAAGCTTTCCATAGCGAACCCATCGAGACCCAAGAAACCCAGAGCACCCTGGAGGCAAGCAGGGCGTTTCTTGGCATGGGTTTCCACTGTACTCGCCCGAGGCTCTTGGCGGCCGACGCTCCCCTTGGACGCTCTCCTGAGCTCTCCAAGACTTCCACAACGGCCCAGGAATGCCATCAAGGTCGCCAAGATGGCTCCACATTGCTTCAAGAGATAACCACCATCCGCTAAGACGCGCCCAATAGTCCCAAGAGGCTTCCAGCTTCCAAGAGGCTCGGCAACACCCCCAAGCCGCTCTCCATGAGGGACCTTCAAAGGCCAAACACCTTGTTTTCCGTTGGTGTTTGTTTTGTTCTCTCGCTCTCTCACTCTGCGGTTCTTCGAGGTCCCAAGTGAATAACTAAGAGCCCCGAGGAGCTCTGGACGGTCCCAAGATGGCCTTAACCTGACCCAAGCGGGCCTCTGGAGGGAACCAGCACGGCCTGAGATGGCCTCCAGACATCCGAAGGAGGTTCCAGGATGCCCCCAAGACGGCCTCAAGAGACCACCCAGACGGCCAAGAGAGCTCCAAGACGGCTCAACACGGCGCCAAGACGGCGCAATATAGGAACATCGAGAGCTCCTAAAAAGTGGCGCTTTGCTTCAGCGGCTTGATCTTGAGCATGGTTCCGACTATACCTACACAGCGAAGCTCTCGCCGAATCATGGCCGCTGGCGGGGAGATCTTAGGCCCGAGGCTCTCGACGAAATGACAGACCTGTACCCGGCCCGCCGTTTGCACAGCTGCCCACGGCGACACGAAAGTCGAGAACCAACCAGACGAACCGACAGCGAAACCGAAACCGAAACCGATCGAAACTGGCGGACCGAACGAAACCTGGAAGGCCGCAGCGCGCAACCGTCGACCAAACCGAACCGACCAGACGCAGCCGACTGCGAAACCACAAAACTGATCGAACCGCGGGCACCCTTGATGATCGTCTGGCTTGCGGGTCATAACTCAGGCATCATCTGGCGGCCGTTCGGGGCGATTGGGGCACCCCCAGAACGCGCTCGGCACGCCACAGCTAATGGAAATCATCCTGAGGCTGGCAAACCAGCCGCCGAGAACCATCGACAGTCGACCGAATCGTGGACACCCTTGGCCCGGCATGGCGCCCCCCCCCCCCGCGCGCAGGGGTCCTTCCCGAGGAGAACCCACGCCTCGTGCCTGCCCCCCCGTCCCGAGGGACAGCGGGGGAAGAGCGGGAAGGACACGGGGGAGGACGCGAGAGGGGGGGGGTCTTAGGCGGCAGCTCCTGGGAGCTCTTCGCGGGAACGACCAGGGGCCGCCAAGCACAACGAGGAGGCCATCGAGCCGGATTGGGCCAGACGGAGTCCAGGGCAAAGCCGCATTAAACTTCATCCAGCTAGACTAGGTGGGATCAGGCCGGAGCAAGACGGCTTCCGACCGCGGGTACATGACAACGCCGATGTTGAATCATGTTCACCTCCAAAGAGGTGGACACTGAAGGCCTCCGAAATGGGGCCAGGGGGGTTCGGGGTCGGAAGCGCGCGCAAACAACGATGGCACAGGCACGTGCCGTGCTCAACATGGGAACACTGAACACTTGACACTGCGCCCCCACGTCACGCGGCACGGCCCTACGAGGGGCGGGGCGTTGGCGCCTCGGCGCCGACAAGTGAGTAAAACACACATCTCAGGTTGTGGAAATGGGAAAAGAGGAGGAGGAGGACGAGGAGGAGGAGCTGGCCGGCAATGTCACTCACCTTGTATTTGCCGTTGTCGCTGCACGTTAGGTTCCTCCATTTGCGACCACTGAATACTATCTGGCGCAATGGTCTGCCAATCCTCTCCAGAAACCGTGCGGATAAATTTTGCCATGTCTTCGAGCCACCTTTGGTTGGGTCCTTGCGGTAATCTCTTTGCACGCGTATTGGTCGATGTTGGAACGAGGTGGAGGGAAAATGAGGACACACAGCAGGCACGTGCCGTTCTCAACACATGAGCGACGATCAAAAACGGGCCCTACGAGAGATTTTATAACGACCTTACGCGGTGGCATACGTGGGCCGCCAGCGCTGCACGCTAAACTTGAAGCGAAGGCGATTACGCGCGACCTTTCGCGGGCAGCTAATGCGCCAATATCGGCACAGACGACCCCGTTTCTTGAATACGTTCACGTGGGAACGCGAGGGAAGGAGGGAGGTGGAGGGGAAATGAGGACAAACGGCAGACAAACCAGACAAACCACAGTTTCACGCCTCGCCATCGCTCGAACGTCTGCTCCCCGTGCATGTTTCGATTTCGCGCGTTTATTGTTGTAGGTGCGCGCGCGTGTGTGCGCGCACACGCGCGCACACGCGTGTGTGTGTGTGTGTGTGTGTGTGTGTGTGTGTGAATGTATGCGTGTGTGCGTGTGTGTGCGTGTGTGTGCATGTGGGTGTGCGCGTGTGCGTGTGTGCGTATGTGCGTATGTGCGTGAGCGTGTGTGTGTGTGGTGTGTGCGTGGGTGTGTCCTCATTTCCGGTGCTTGAAGCATTTGGGCGCGTCCGATGACGCAGCTTCTTTGGTACGCTTTGGCTGGCGTTGCCACGTGTCGTTGGCCTACCTCACCCATCATTGCGGTCGATTTGCGTTGCTAGTCTGTAGGTTAACACCAACCTGCATCGCAGGACCGCTGGGTACGCCACACCACCAATCTGCCTAGCAGCATTGAATTCTTTGCGCTTCACTGTCTAACATCGTTCTGGTGATTCAGTGGCCGCAGTTAGCCCCTGGCTGTCGCGCTTCAGTTCAGTGTGAGTTGACTGTTGTTATCATGTTCTGGCCGCTGCATGTTTAACTACTTTGGACTTGTAGTTCCTCTTGCACATCCATCGCTTGCATGTTGTAGTGTGCGTCGCTTTGTGCGCTGCTCGACCCTGCTCGATCGCAATTCGCACTTGCTGCTCGCGCTTGAGGGCCCTCTGCGCACCTGACTTGACAGTCGTGCGCGTGTGCTTCTTCCAATACACTCATGAGCCCTGTCTTAGTAACAAGCAGTTGCTCGTCAACACACACACACACTCAATCATTATACATATATACATATATATACATATATATGTGTTTGCTTGACTCTCAGAGGAAGTTTTTCCGTTTTCGTGTATTTCTAGTAGCTCGCTCAGGCCAAGCCAAGCACACGTAGGGTAATCCACGTGATTCGAGGCCCTGCTACTGTGGGCCTCTTAGGCTTCAGATTTGATGTGCCAGTGCAGCTCTCCCTGTTTTCCTGCCGGCTTGTTTCTCCGCCGTCTTCCTCTTGTCTCCTGGCCGTGCCCCCGCTTTCTCTCTCCTCCTCGTTTCTTGGCCTCCCGCTGTACACCCATCCAGACAGCTGTCCTCTGGAGTTTGATGTCTGTGGCAACCTCGATGTTCAAGGCTCCCGAGTCGGGGGTTTAGGAGCTCGCTCAAGCGGAGGCAACTCTGCGCATGCACGTGTAGGTCTCCGACTCGTGCTACGCCTGCGCCAAGATTCGAGAAGAGATTTCATACGTTGATTTCTTTCTTTGATAGCTACGTGCAGTTGAATATTGGACGCCTGTCGGCGATAAGGAGCTCCGCTCCTCCTGCATCGTGCTGGACGTTGGGCTGTCTCGGGAAGAAGGACGGTGGTGGCATCTATTTGTTATCTTGCTAACAATACTCATCATAGAGTGTGTGTGTGTGCGTGCGTGCGTACGTGCGTGGGTGCGTGCGTGCGTGCGAGGGTGTGCGTGTGAGTGTGGGTGTGAGAGATTGTGTGTGTGCGTGTCTGTCTGTCTGCCTGCCTGCGTGCCTGCCTGCCTGCCTGCCTGCCAGCCTGTCTGTCTGTCTGTCTGTCTGTCTGTCTGTCTGGCTGTCTCTGTCGTCTGTCTGTCTGTCTGTCTGTCTGTCTGTCTGTCTGTCTGTCTGTCTGTCTGTTTCTCTGTGTGCCTGCCTGGCTGTATGTGTGTCTCGATGTTCCTCGCCGGAGGAAAAACGCACACGTCCGAGCGATGCCGAGACGCCCCAATTGGGGAGATCTGCGCCGCGGCCAGGCCCCCCCCCCCCGCCGCCTTCAGCGAAGAAGCAGCGCGGACAGACCGTGACCCCTCCCTCCGCTCCTCCAGCCACTCTACTCCGCGGGGCTTGGAGGAGGAGGAGGAGGAGGAGGAGGAGGAGGAGGAGGAGGAGGAGGAACTTGCCGCCCTGGCCATCCTGGGGACTATTTCGCCAGGGTCGTGGCACGACCGCCTCATGCGAGGCCCCTTTCTTGCTTGGCGGCCGCGCGCGGCCGCCCTTCTGACACTACGGGCGAATCGGCGCCCCCATAGCTCGGCGAAGAAAAAGAAGAAGTGGAGGGGGAGATCGAGGAGGAGGAGGAAAAGGAGGAGGAGGGGGATGAGGAGGGGGAGATCGAGGAGGAGGAGGAGGAGGAGGAGGAGGAGGAGGAGGAGGAGGAGGAGGAGGAGGGGGAAATCTAGGGGAGGAAGGGAAATGGAGGAGCGGAGGGGAAGGGCGGGGGCGGGGGCGGAGCGAGGCGCCGGTCAGTGACGTTCCAGAGGGCGGCCCTCGTCAAGGGCGTCCGGGCGCAGGACAGATGGCCGTGCGACCACGCCTGCTGTTGGCCGTGCTCAGCTGGTTCGGGGGGGCCACAGGGTAGGATAGTGAAGGGTAGGGTAGAGCGTCAGCTCACGTGGCTGGTTTTCCTGGCGCCTCCTGGCGCCGGGAGGCACCGATGCATCGAGGAATGGGTCTGGCGGCGGGGCGGAGACCAAGCTGCATGCAGCAAATTTCGTACCCCCGCCCCCTTTACCTGTCCCCCCCTCTCGTCCGGCCAGACTTTTGGGGGGGGGGGGGACCTGGGGCAGTCGAGGAGGGATCCTGGCGTCGCCGTGCACCGTGACGGCTCATGCCTCCACGTCTTCGGCGTCTGTGGGCCGTTTCCCCACCCCCCTGGACCGCCGAAAGCATGCGCAGGAGGAAGATCTGGGGAGCCGGCGCTGGGGAACCAGTCGAGATCCACGGGGGGCCACGCGACGAACAACGTTGCGACGTCTATGAGCCAACCCCGCAGAGACATGGCGAGCGCCAGGTGGCCACCTGAAACCAGCAAAGAAGTCGCGAGTTTACGCAAAACGGTGAGCATAGCACGGACAAGTCGCACAAGTGTTTGGTGGTCCAGCTGCGAGCAACTCAGAAGCTCAAGCGCAGTGTGGTGATGGCACGAGGACAATATCTGTCTCAGGGGCAGATGGACTGGCCTCGGCTCTACGAGGGTCCATCATTGCGACAATTTGCTGAGTGCCTACGGACAGGGGCAAAAGCCAGAGACCTTCGAAGCCCCAGGGGCGGACGGATGAAAGCGTCCCCCCCGAAAAAAAACCTCCGAACCACCAGGGGAGTGCTCAGCACACTTGGAATCAACCGCCGAAGCTGGCAAACAGTGGGCGATACGCTGCAGGAGGAGTGAGGCGAAGGGAGAGGGAAACCTCTGGGGAGACAGGGGCGGCGGAGAACGGGCCTGCCAGTGACGCAGTGAAGGAGGGACGCCTCCCTCCAACAGGCCCGAGTTCGCATTCCACATGACAGACCTATGCAATGCAGTGTATATCTAGCGCGTTGCCCTGTGCAGAGGCAGAGACAGAGGGAGAGATGACCAGTACGTGGAACGCCTGGGACGAGTGAGTGCGGGGCATGCTGACGAAATGATGATCGCTTGTCCGCCTGGTGCTTCCACATCATACAGGCGGGTTATTGCGCACAGGACGCGCGACAGGACACAATACTCTTCCGACGGCAACATGGCCTCCAAAACCACAGGACACAAGGGTACCCTGCCGAGGCCGCAAAGCACACGACTCGCGATGCACAGGACACAAGAGCACCCTTGATTTCGCAGGGCCGACCTACTAATGGAACCCGACTGTATTCTACCGGAGAAGACAGCAATCCCCCCCGTCCCAACGTGCCGCTGCTGCTGCTCCTCCCCTCCCCCCCAAGGACCCTCGGGAATTCCTGAGGATTCCCAAGGGTTCCAAAGAATTCCTGGGGATTCCTGAGGAATCCTAGGGCCTGGGAATTCTTAGGGATTCCTGGGGATTCCTGCAGATTCCTGAGGATCCCTAAAAGGGTTCCTCCTCCCGTCCCGGCCGCAATGAAAACGCCATACCCTGGTCATTCATGAAAATGTCGGCGAGGTCGATGGTCCGCGCGAAGTCTTGCTCCTCCCGACCATGCCAGCTTCATTCCGCGTGCAAGACAGGAATGCCACAGACTAGCATCAAGAGGGGCTGCGCCTGAACATTCTCACGAATAAGAAAAACAACAACAACAGCCCTCGAGTGCGAGGAGCAAATCCGGGAAGAGGGCCGAT